AGAAAGAGAAAGAAGAGAAAGAGGATTCGTAAAAAATAAAGAAGATAAAAACAGAAGGAAGGAAGAAGGAAATATACAATATTAGGTAATATAAATTTATTTTTATAAATTTAATAAGTGTAGTATATATAATATATATATATAAAATAATATATATATTATTATATATTATACAATATTTATATAGGGCATATCAACATAAATCAATCACTTTTTTATTTGCTTTTATTTTTTATGTTTTTGCATTATTGAAAGTTTTTCCATGATTTGAAAATATTTAGACATTCTTGAATAGTAGTATTTTGCAATTTCATACCACCGTAACGATCATCAATTTTAATCTAATTTATTTTTTTCCCTCAATGAGACCCTTTCGATTATTTTCTAAAAATTGATAACATTTGCGACTTAAATAAAATTTTTGAGCCATAAACAAAGAGGGGATTCAAATAATTTCAACTTTTTAACACCATTTTTTGAAATTTTTTTTTTCGACAATTACATTCCTTAATTTTTTATATTACTCCAATAAAACAGAAAAGTTTACAAAGATAAAATTATATAGTTTAAAATGTTAGTAGTCGAAAAATAATTTTAATATTATTTATAACTATTTTTTGCTATTTTGCTCGAAATAATGTTTGTTAATTTATTAGACGACTCGTATCGAAAGAAAAACTTTGCAAATAAAAGACTTTAATTAAATATAATACATTTATTAAAATTATAACAAAGAAAAAGAAAATATTAAAAAATAAAATTATTTTAATAAATTATTTAAATTATAAAAAATAAATGTTATGTTATAATTTTTAATAAAATAAGAGCCAAATCGCGGATGATAGTGCATTTATTTCCTTAGGGGGAACAGAGGATGTATTGAATTAAATCTCTTGTAGAGATTATTCCAATTTTAAATCTTGGCCGTGACCAAGTAAAATTTGGTGCTTTGTGCACAAGTATTTAATTCTAACGAAAAAATTTAGTTTCGTTGGGATAACGTACTGTCATCCGCGATTTGACTCTTATTGCCTGTCTTACACTTTAAATTTATGTTTTATTTAATTAATGTCTTTTATTTGCAAAGTTTTTTTTCGATACCAGTCGTCTAAGAAATTAATAAACATTATTTTTTAGCAAAATAGCAAAAAAATAGTTTTAAATAATATTAGAATTTTTTCTCGATTATTAATACTTTAAAATAAGTAATTATTATCTTTGTAAACTCTTTCTTTTTTATTTTAGTAATGTAAAAATTAAAGAATGTGATTTTAGGAAAAAAATTGCAAAAAATGGTGTTAAAAAATCAAAGTTATTTAAATCCCCTTTTTACTTATGACTTAAAATTTTGTATTTAAGTCTTAAATGTTATCAATTTAAAAAAAAAATCGAAAGGATCTCATTAAGGGAAAAAAAATAATAAAATGTTTTGAAATACATAATTCAAGTATGAATAGAAAAAAAAATCTAAAAAAAAATCATGGAAATTAATTTTGGAAACTACTTTTAATAAGTGCAAAAATATTTAAAAAATGAAGCAAATAAAAAATGTTTATGGAAAAAAGTGGTCTATTTGTGTGGTATGGAATGCCCCATATACATATATATACATATATAATATTATATATATATATATAGTATATATGTTAATTATAGTTATAAATTATATATATAACAGAGAAAGAAAAAAAAAGTGACGGAGAATAATTAAAAGAAGAGAGAAAGGAAAAAGAAGATTAGTGTATATGAAAACTTTCTAGGTAAACTATAATTTATGAAAAATAATGTTTCATTTAAAAAATTGAAAGTAATTTTTATATAATCTTTAAATGAATTAATCACATTGTCTTACGTCCCCCTCAAAGATAAAACTTATACAAAATATTTTTTCTTAAAATGTTTTATTTTTAAGATAAGCAATTGCATTTTTAAAAATAATAGATCTAAAATAATAACCTGTATATATAAAATTAATATGTATAATATGTAACGTTTTTATTACAGTTAAAACGAACGAAATATAAGAAAAAAAAATAAGAAAGAGAAGGAAAGAAAAATAGAGAAAGAAAGAAAACAAAGAAATATAAATAAAAAGGAACTAAAAGAAAAATAAAAAAATATTATAATTATAATTAATAAATATTATTAATAATATTATACCTATATATATATTTTTAGTATAAATTATTTCATGATTTACTGTTATTTAATAGTTTACTTAATAGTTTAATATATGTTATTTAATTAATTATTTAACATGTTATTTAATATTATTTAACTTAACTTAATTTAATTTAAATTTATTTTATTAATAATTTAATTAATTTAATTTTATTTATTAATAATTTAATTTAATTTGATTAATTAATTTTAATTTAATTTAATTTAATTTGATTAATTTATTTTAATTAATTAACTTAAAACATATAAACTAATTAATATTTATTAATTAATATCGCCTATTAATATATAATTATATTATAATATAATATATTTATACTGTACATTAATATAAATTTGTATTTATAATTATTTATAAATAAATAATGATGACAATGATGACAATGATGATAATGATGATGATGATAACAATGATGACAATGATAATAATGATTATAATGATAATGATGATGATGATTATGATTATGATGATAATAATGATGACAATAATGATGATAATGATAATCTTGATTATAATATTGATTTTAATTTTTGTATAAAAAACTTTAAAGTTCACAAATAATATTTAATAATTTAAAAAGATTGAATTTTAATAGCTTATTCAAATTTTAATAATCAATCTATAATATTATTTTAATATATTTAATATATTTAATAAATTTTTGTTTATTTTTGCATTAAAAATTTCAAAAATTAAACTTTTTTAAATACCTAACTTATAAATTTTATTATTAATTTCTCTTTAATTATTATTAAATATTTAAGTAAATGTATTTTCTTATTTTAATTAGCATATAATATATTAATCTGTGTGTTCGGTATATATATATATTTATATTTTTAAACTTTATAAAATAATAAATTTTAATAAGTTTACGATCAATTTATAAATTAATAATTTTGTTTAAATTTCAATAATATATATACTTTTCACGGAAAAACATACGTGTATATATATATATATATATATATATATATATATATATATTATATATTATTACTTTTATAAAATGCCGAAACGCAAAATACAGCATAGTTTAGAAGAAGAAGAGGAGTTACAACAACGTTCTAAAAAAAAAGCAGAAAATCAATATCGTCGTAATCAAATTATAAAAGCATTAAATAATGTAACAAAATCAGTAATCGTAATATTTGTGTTGCTGGTACATCACGTGATAATCATATAATAATAGATTTAGATGAAGAACAAAGTTTTAAAAATTTTAATCAGTGTGTCAACAATCTTTGCAGAACGTCAATCTTATTATCGATCACGGCAAAAAAATCAACCTTGTTTAAATAATGATGATATAATATTAATTAATAATATTGTTGAATATTATATTGGTTCTATGGATGTATCTTGTATTCATTGCAATGCAAAACATTTGCGTCTGAAAAAATATCTAATAGAGGAAGCTCCTTTCATGACTGTTGTAATCATGGTGCAGTATATTTACAACCATTACCTGAATTTCCACAATTAATTCGTGATTTATTTGATGGGACTCATGTAAAATCTAATGATTTTTTTCAACATATTCGTAGTTATAATAGTTCATTTCGTTTGCATCATTTAACGCTAATTTAAAGAATTTTCAAAATAGACGACCTGGTCCATATTGTTTCAAGATACAGGGACAGATATATTATCAAGTTAATACAACATTATACGCTGCACAAAATGAAAGTCCTACTTATGGTCAACTTTTTATTGTGGATGCAAATGAAGCAATAGAGCATCGTCTTATAAAAAATTCATATTTAGATTTTAAAATTTTACAAAATCTTGAATATATAATGCGAGAATTAATGTATTTTCTCAGTCTTATCAAATGATGGGTGAGGAATTAGAAAATCAACGACGTTTAGAAATGGAATCTGGTAAATTGTTACCGGAATTACAATTATCATTTATTTTAAGACCAGGTATGGATCGACGTCGATATAATGCTCGAAGAACTAATGAAGTTGCTGCTATTTTTTGTATAACTGCTGTGGGGAAATTCCAGAATCGTACGTTACAATACGTAATAGAAATACTAAAACTTTACAAAAAGTTAGTATTATGGATCCAAATGTTGAACCATGGGTATATCCATTGTTTTATCCATATGGTATCAAGGATGGCATCGTGATTTAAAAAAATTAAATAGTGATAGACGAATAACTAGAGGACAATATATTAAATATCGTATGGCTATTCGTGATGAATTTAACGTTTTTTAGGACGTCGCTTATTTCAGCAGTGGCTTGTAGATAGTTATGTTAAAATGGAAAAAGATAGAATTGATTATTGTAAAAATCATCAAAAAGAATTACGCAGTGAAAAACATCAAGGTTTAAAAGACTACTTACAAACTACGGCGAATAACTTGAATGGTCGTATTGGAAAATGATTATTCTTCCTTCAACATTTATGGATCGCCGCGTAATATGTTACAAAATATCAAGATGCAATGGCAATAGTTAGTAAATTTGGTAAACCAGACCTTTTCATTACCATGACTTGTAATCCAAAATGGCGAGGAATCGAGGAAGGAAAACCTTTTACCTGGTCAACAAGCTTCTGATAGACCTGATATTTGTGCTCGTGTATTCAATATAAAAAGGACTATTTAATTGATTTAATCGTTAAACAAAAATTTTTTGGTGATGAAGTAGCAGCGTTTGTGTATGTTATTGAATTTCAAAAACGTGGTTTACCACATATTCATATGTTAATTACTTTAAAATAAAACAACTCCCAAATTGTTGATAAATATATTTCTGCTGAAATTCCGAATCCATGCGAGAATCGTATTTTACATGATATAGTTATGAGACATATGATTCATGGACCTTGTGGTGATTGGTGTTTGGTAGATGGATGTTGTTCGAAACATTATCCAAAACCTTTTCTTGAAGAAACTAGAATGGATGAAAATGCTTATCCTTATTATCGTCGTCGAGATAATGGTAAAAATTCGAACGTCCTGGCGGATATATAGTCGATAATCGTTATGTTGTTCCATATTGTCCTACTTTATCGATTATTTAATAGTCATATTAACGTTGAAGTAGTTTCAAGTATAAAATCAGTTAAATATCTGTATAAATATATATATAAAGGACATGATGTTGCTGCCGTAACTATTGAACCAATAACAGAAAATGTAATTATTGATCATGATGAAATACATAATTATATCGAAGCTCGTTATGTTGGACCTGTGGAAGCCAGTTGGCGTATTCTTGGTAAGAAGTTACAAGATAAAAGTCACGCTATAATGCGATTGCCAGTCCATCTTCCTAATGAACAAAATATTATAATTGAAAATGAAAATATTGATGACGTTATGATTTCTGCTTTAAATCAGGTTACTATGTTGATAGATTATTTCTCATTGAACATACGCGATGAGGAAGCAAGACAATATCTATACATAGAAATTCCACAACATTATACATTTAAAAAGGAGAAAATTAATGGCATAAATGTATCGCGTTGGGCTAAACGTAAAAGTCATTATAATTGTGTAGGACGAATGTATTCCGTTAGTCCAACACAAACAGAATTATTTCATTTACGATTATTATTACTCACAGTAAAGGGAGTTACAAGTTTTAACGACTTAAAAACTGTAAATGGAGAATTGTGTCAATCATTTTCAGCAGCATGTTTGGCTTTAGGTCTGATCGAAGATGATGATGAATGGATACGAGCTATGAATGAAGCTGTTGAATGGATGATGCCACGACAACTTCGTAGATTATTTGTACGTATATTATTACATTGTCAGCCATTACATCCTGAAGAATTATGGGAAAATTTTAAGTAGCAATGTCTGAAGATTACGTTCGACATTTTGGTATATTACAAGGACAAAATAAAACATATATCCAAATCAATAGTATGCTTCAGACTGAAGGTAAAAGTCTTGCTGATTTTCCACAAATGGAACAATTAAATGAATATGAAGAAGAAGAGGATTATATGACATTTGAAAAAATTATGGAAGTAGGTAATAACCAATACAAACAATTAAATGATAAACAAAAAGAGATAATCGATATTATATTAAATAGATTTAACAATAATAATAATAATAATAACTGTTTTTATATTGATGGTCCTGGAGGATCAGGTAAAACATTTGTATATACAACTATCTATCATTTAGCTAGAATTAAAAATAAACGCGTGTGTACAATGGCTTTTACCTGGTATTGCAGCGACTTTACTTCCTAATGGAAGGACAGTTCATAAGATATTTGGATTGCCGTTCCATTATTTGTTGATTCATCATCTTCCATTAAAATCCAATCAAAAGCAGCTCAATATTTAAAAGAAACTGATATTTTATTTGGGATGAAGCACCAATGGCACCACGATATGCTTTAGAAATTATGGATCGAACATTGCGTGATATTAGAATAATGACTTTCCTTTTGGCGGAAAAATTGTTTTATTAGGTGGTGATTTCAGACAACTTTTGCCTGTAAACAACATGCTACTCGAAGTGAAATTGTAAATCTTTCTATAAATTTAGTTATACTTGGAAATATTTAAAAAAATTCTCTTTAATACAAAATATGCGAGTTCTTCCAGAGGAAATTGATTTTTCTAAATTTCTATTAGATATGGGAGATGGATTATTAAATGATTTAAATGATAATATAGAAATTCCTAAATGTTGTATAGTATCTACAAATGTTGATATTGTGGAAGATATATATGGTGATTTAATACGAAAACAAGAATTTGTTAAAATAACTAAATGTGCGATACTTTCTGCAAGAAATGTTGATGTAGACGAAATTAATAAAAGAGTTGTAGAACTATTAGGTGTAACTGGTGAACGAATTTATACAAGTATAGACTGTACTGTAAATGGTGACAATGATGACATTGGTGAAGCTTTGTTACCAGAATATTTAAATAGTTTATCTCCACCATCTCTTCCTCCTCATGAATTACGTTTGAAACCAAATTGTATCATTATGTTGATTAGAAATCTTAGTATCAATGAAGGTCTTTGTAATGGCACTAGATTAATGGTTATAGAGCTTGCAGACCATTTATTAAATGTAAGATTTTAACAGGTGACAAAGCAGGAGATATTATTTTTTTAAATCGTATAACATTATATTGTGAAAATGTATATCCTTTTACTTTTTCTAGAAGACAATTTCCGATAAAATTAGCTTTGCTATGACAATTAATAAATCACAAGGACAGACATTTGAAAAATCGGATTAGATCTTCGTAAAGATGTATTTAATCATGGACAACTTTATGTTGCCTTTTCACGAGTTCGTCTTGGCAAGCATTAAAAGTTACATTGGGAATCAACGAGATAATAGATACGTTAAAAATTATGTATATAAAAAAATATGTCTAGCTTTATTGTTTTTTATATATATATATATAATAAAAATATTTATGTGTTAAAAATGATTATAGTAATTTAATTTGTAATTTAATTTGTAATTTTAAATGATTATAAAATAATTAAATATATTCTATAATATCAAAAGTGTGTGAAAAAAGGAAAGATAATTAATTATTTTCTAATTTAAATTTTATTAAGAAAAAATTCTAAATTTTGAACATAATATAATTTTATTTTTTCAATTAATTAAATAAAATATAATGTAAGTAATATAATTAAATAAAATATTAATGGAACGTAAAGAATATTATATATTTATATTTAATTATATTATATATTACATTATATATATTATATTATATTGTATAATATTATATTATATTATAATATTATATAATATAATAATTCCATTAATTAAATTTATTCATTTTCATGTGATAATTAAGCTAACAAGTCGCATGATACATCCATCATCATCCGGGCACGGTAAATTGAGATTACTTCAGACAAGAAAGAATAAAGAATTTTGTACTTGAACGAGAACTCATTATTTTAAATGTAAGTCTTTTTTGCGGTATTCTGTAATAAAAATTATATTAATATAATATTATATTTAATATTAAACTTAATTACATATTATTATGAAAAAATAAAATACACTTAAAAAATATACCAAAAGATTAAAAAAATAAAAAAGAAATAAAAGAAATCAAATAATAAAAAATTTACTTGCTTTTTATTATTGTCAACAATTTAATTACAAAATTAAATTAAACTGGCTACGTTTGTGGTCCTAGCCTGAACACCATCCAAATAAATAAGTGATTCAATAAATATCAGATTTTATTATTTATTATTTTATTTTTTTTATTTTTTTTAGTTTCCTACGTTTATTTATTTTAATATAAAAAATAATTTTTTATGTAATTATATTTTATACAAAAGTTTATTAAATGTTTAATAAATATATTTAAAATTTAATTATATATTACATATATATATTTATTTTTTATATAAAATCTTTATAAATTAACTCTGTGTACAAAACAAAAATTTTTTAAAACAAATTATTGTTTATAACCGTAATATTATTCTACTCTTATTAGCTTTTTATATGTGTGTAATACTTTATTTGAATTAAAAAGCATTTAATTAGTATATTGTTTTAAAACAAAATTTTTTAAAAATTAATTTATTTATTAATGTATATANCAAATATTACTATCTAATAAACATTTAAGTAAAAACGTATATTTTCGTTACAAAAAAATTTCTTGTGATAATTCGACATAAAATTATAATTCAATTTAATTAATGAAAGGCTGGTTAAATTAAACAAAATTAAACAATCATATATAGTAGGCCAACTAAACGAGCAAATAAATAAGATGTAAAATTTTTTTATTAATAGTTAAATCATTAATTAACATTCCGTTACAGAATCGATATAAATTGTAAACGTTTCGACTGCACTACAGTCTTTATCAATACATAAAAATTAAAATATTAAATAAAGTTAGATGTTAAAAATACAAAGTTAGTAAATTTAAAATATAAAATTGAAACGATTCTTCGCTGTTGACCAATAGATATGCAAGCGATTGGTCTGAGATGCCAAGTTATGCGACATTTGAGCATGCTACGGATATAATACGCGAATTAAATCAATGTCAGAAAAATTAAAAATCTTTCAACTTACATTATCGTTTAACAAGTCCTTTTCCCCGATATTTCAAGTGTGTGTTGCGAAGTCTGAATACCAAATGTCAAAATAGAGAGCGTGATGTATTTATTTATTACCAATGTTTTTTCTAAATTATGATTCAGCAAATTTTTTAAGTATGTCAAAATAACTACTGTCTAACAATTCGGTGTCTGTATTTAAATTAATTCCATTTTTCTGTTCTTTAATGTGGATCATTTCAGATATTAGTCTTTTTTGGTAATTCTTTTCATGATCCATAATTTTAATATTGTCCCAGTCAAATGTATGTTGTTCGTTTAGAATGTGTTCCGTGATAACCGAATGTCTAGCAGAGTCTAATTTAATATTATTTTTATGTTCTTTAAGTCTCGTTCCTAACTGTCTTTTTGTCTGTCCGACATATGTGGCGTCACAATCGTTGCAATTCAATTTGTAAATAACGTTAGAATTCGTGGGGCAATTATTTTTGTCCTTTTGAACTCTTATGAAGTCATTTTTTTTTAATGCAACGATATCCTACCACTACGTCAGGTCTTCTTATTGCTGCTGAAGCAACTTTCTCAGATATTGATTCTATATATGGTATGACAAATATTAATGTTAGTATTAGTATTATTAGTATCTGTTATATTTGTTATTATTAGCTTGTTAAATTTCTTAGTTGAGAGATTTTTTAATCTGCGTTTTATTTCTGTGAAAATTAGATCAAGAGGATAACCGTTGGATAGCAAAATGTTAATAGCTTTCTCTATATATTTTTTTGTGAAATTGCGGATGTGATAGTAATAAAGCTCTATCTACCAGTTATAAATTGTTCCTATTTTATGACAAGTCGGATGATTTGAAAAAAATGAAAGTAATCTACCTAGAATGTCTTTTTGTGATACCATCTAAATAATTTTGTTATCTATTACTTTGATCATTATGTCAAAAAGCTTATACAACGATTATCCTCCTTTCCAATGTAATTGTAGTCTATCGTTATAATTGTTGAATTCGTTCAAAACATAATGTAATATTGTCAGCGGAAGTGCATAAAATAAATGTCGTCTACATAACGGAAATAGAAGTCAATTTCGCAATTTAATTACTATTACCAAGTTTCCAAGTCCTGCCTGACTATACTCGGCATGATCGGAGAAAGTGGGGAACCCTAGGAGTCCCATAAATTTGTTTTAAGTTAATGTATTAAAATTAAAAATGTAGAGTTATATAAATTTTATTTTATAAATTTAAAACAAACTAACCAGAAATGGTTATTAATTTACTGATAAAAAAAATTCCCCCCAATGTAACCAATCTATTACATTGGGAGGTGAATTTAGTCTCCCAGTTAACTTAAATAAAAAGTAGCTATACACGAATTCATCAAAGATATAGAAAGCAATTCTAACTGGATCAGAAATCTTACTTCGATTCGTAATGCTGCCATTCCACAATTTTCATTATTTTTAAACAATAACGACAAAAAACGGACATACAAGAAAAATTATTTCACATGCATAAAGACACAATTAAATTCTGCAATCAAAATCCTAATATTTTATTTACCAGAGCAGATAAAGGCAGCATTACAGTCGCACTAGAAAAAAGAATTTTATATAAAAAAAGTTGAGAGTCTCCTAGAAGACGATTCTACGTATACCATAGTTAAAAACAATCCCACAACAAAATAGAAAAAGACCTCAATATTTGTTTAAAAAAATGGTTGAAAAAGACTTCATCAACAAAAAAGAATATTATTATTTATTTTCAAGCGACTCTCTTCTTCCTAAAGCCTATGGGCTCCCCAAGATCCACAAGGAAAATATTCCTTTTAGATTAATAGTTTCCTCAATAAATACTTCTCTATATAATATTGCTTCTTTCTTTCATAAAATTTTAAAAGATAGCCTTCCTAGAGCGGACAGTTTTGTAAATAACAGTTTTGATATATGCAACATTCTATCAGGAAAACAATACAAGATACCGACATAATAGCTTCATTGGACGTTGTTTCATTATTTACTAATGTTTCCGTAGATCTTGCATTAAACGGTATCAATAATAGATGGCATTTTATAGAGTCACACACAAAGATTCCCAAAAATGAATTCATAGGTATGATAAAATTTATATTAACTTCTACATTTTTCACTTTAAATAACATAACTTACAAACAAATTTATGGGACTCCTATGGGTTCCCCACTTTCTCCGATCATTGCCGATATAGTCATGCAGGACTTGGAAACATTAGTAATTAGTAATTTAAATTGCGAAATGACTTTCTATTTCCGTTATGTAGACGACATTATTTTATGCACTTCCGCTGACAATATTACATATGTTTTGAACGAATTCAACAATTATAACGATAGACTACAATTTACATTGGAAAAGGAGGATAATCGTTGTATAGCTTTTTAGACATAATGATCAAAGTAATAGATAACAAAATTATTTAGATTGGTATCACAAAAAGACATTCTCAGGTAGATTACTTTCATTTTTTTCAAATCATCCGACTTGTCATAAAATAGGAACAATTTATAACTTGGTAGATAGAGCTTTATTACTATCACATCCGCAATTTCACAAAAAAATATAGAGAAAGCTATTAACATTTTGCTATCCAACGGTTATCCTCTTGATCTAATTTTCACAGAAATAAAACGCAGATTAAAAAATCTCTCAACTAAGAAATTTAACAAGCCTAATAATAACAATATAACAGATACTAATAATACTAATACTAACATTAAATATTTTGTCATACCATATATAGAATCAATATCTGAGAAAGTTGCTTCAGCAATAAGAAGACCTGACGTAGTGGTAGGATATCGTTGCATTAAAAAATTAAATGACTTCATAAGAGTTCAAAAGGACAAAAATAATTGCCCCACGAATTCTAACGTTATTTACAAATTGAATTGCAACGATTGTGACGCCACATATGTCGGACAGACAAAAAGACAGTTAGGAACGAGACTTAAAGAACATAAAAATAATATTAAATTAGACTCTGCTAGACATTCGGTTATCACGGAACACATTCTAAACGAACAACATACATTTGACTGGGACAATATTAAAATTATGGATCATGAAAAGAATTACCAAAAAAGACTAATATCTGAAATGATCCACATTAAAGAACAGAAAAATGGAATTAATTTAAATACAGACACCGAATTGTTAGACAGTAGTTATTTTGACATACTTAAAAAATTTGCTGAATCATAATTTAGAAAAAACATTGGTAATAAATAAATACATCACGCTCTCTATTTTGACATTTGGTATTCAGACTTCGCAACACACACTTGAAATATCGGGGAAAAGGACTTGTTAAAACGATAATGTAAGTTGAAAGATTTTTATATTTTCTGACATTGATTTAATTCGCGTATTATATCCGTAGCATGCTCAAATGTCGCATAACTTGGCATCTCAGACCAATCGCCTTGCATATCTATTGGTCAACAGCGAAGAATCGTTTCAATTTTATATTTAATATTTAACTAACTTTGTATTTTTAACATTAACTTTATATTTAATATTTAATTTTTATGTATTGATAAAGACTGTAGTGCAGTCGAAACGTTTACAATTTATATCGATTCTGTAACGGAATGTTAATTTAATGATTTAACTATTAATAAAAAAATTTTTACATCTTATTTATTTGCTCGTTTAGTTGGCCTACTATATATGATTTGTTTAATTTTGTATAATTCAATTTTATTTCTCTCTCTCTCTCTCTCTTCTCTCCGCTCTCTCTTTCTCCATATCGTATAAAATGAATAGATTCGCACGAGATGCAACGAAATAATAAGAGATAATTTACGTGACGGCAACGAAATGATCGCGTTGAGATTCACGCGACGCCCATTTTAAACGAACGACCACACAAATCTTCGGAACGAAATTACCATTCCTGACCCTATCGACATCGTTAAGCATAAAATCCAGACAATGTTCTTGCTCTTTTCTATTTCATTGATCCTTGTGCTCTTTCAGGCGTTATCGTCGGCGACGTACCCATACTACGCGGCGGCGGCAGCTGCCGCCGCGGCGGCGGCGGGCGTCGCGGGTGTCGGAGGCGTCGGTGGCGTCGGCAGTGCTGGACAACTAGGATACTGGTATCCACCCCAATCTTATCCTACGACAGCGACACAAATGCAAGCCGGTGGCTTTCTTCAGGGCATGCAAGGATACACCTACGGCCAGTTCGCCGGATATCAACAGGCGCAATATATGGGGTAAGCTTTTCTCACACGAGATAAGTTCTTCTTTTCGCCAAGTTTTGTACGACCAAGTTTTGAATAATCGAAGATTCAAGTCTAATATGAATATATCATCTTTGCCCTCATCCTTTTTTGGATGGGGACGTCGCGCTCTCGAGATGCAACGGATTATAAAACAATTTTACAATATATCGAGCTAACTTTGAAACATTCAAAGTTCAAAATCCGTAAAACATACGTACGTTTTAATTTATATTGAATTTAAACGATCATTACATATATTAAGAAAAATTAATGAAATATAATAATTATGCAGAATATAGTGCTTAGATAATTTTCAATCAATTATTCATTAAGAAAAATATTAGCAACGTAACGATATTAAATAATTAACATTTACGATAGAAATCTAAATAATGTCAGGCAGAATATGAATTGTAACATTGATAAATTTCTTTGCAAAATCCTTTGTACGATTTGACAATTGTGTATGTCGTACGAACGTAGAATGGGCATGGGTGCTGTCCACGCTGCTGGCACAGCAGCAGGATGGGGTCAGGGATTACCTGGGGGACCACAGTTACCACCACACCACGCCACGACGGTCACGGCACCCCCAGGGGTGCAAGCCGCACCCCCGCCACCACCGCCTCCGGCACAAATGATGGCCTACCCGATGCAACAGTTCCAGGTAACCATTACTTTATCTGACCCTATCTCTATACGCGTGCAAGTGTGCATCATACTTGTTTGTGTGTTGAATAGGAGTGTGTTTCGCTTTTTACTTACTTTTGCATCTTGTTCTCTGTTACATCCAACAGCAATTTCATTGGGGTGCCGGTATTGGCTTGTAAATGTTGCACGTGGAAACTCGATTCGATATCAAAAGGATATCGAAGGCATGTGTCGATAGAAAGAGTGCGCACGGTATATACGTACCATATATATTGTCGGTGATCTTAGGAAACCTCGTAAACTTGATACTGTATATCATTCGAGAGACCGAGCGATAGAACACGGTACGCTTCACGTGGAACAATTTCGCACGAATGAAACAGTAAACAAAGCTACAGTATAACACGTATGATATAATTAGCTACACACATATATTCGGTATAATATTCCGGCTTGAGTTACGTTCATTACGAGGTTACAGGAGCAACGGCGATATGCTAATTTCAACAGTTTATACCAGCATTATTTACGATGGTAGTTATATAATATATGCAAAAATGAAAATTTGCATTTTCTCAAATTATATTGCAAAACAAAGATTATTTTCTCTGCCATGACTAATAATAATAAACTGCTTTCAATGTACCGCGCGCTATGTTATCGATCTTCAATTTTTCCGTCACTAACTCAATCTACAAAATTATTCGTTTGCCATAGATAGAATAAAAGCTTGTTTAATCATTAATAAGGAATATTGCTGTGTATAAATGAAATACAAATTATTATTAAACGAGCCATGTGCTTTTGCATTGAAGGTTGCGATATTATGTATGAACACAGAGTTGGGTAAAAATAGAACATTCACCTCACATTGCATTATTCGCACATGCATATTAATTTGAAGTTATAATAACATGAATATAATGGTAAGTACTTTTCTCTTACATTTGAACATAAGTGATATAACACGTTACTCATTTTTGCTGCGTAAACATATATTTAGTCGTGAAAAAAAGCATTTGTTTTGTCATAATAAAAATGCTTAATAACAGCCGCGATTGTAGCGATTGTGTGGAGAATGTTTGTAGTAAGCATGTTTAATAAATGCATATAACGGTGAAAAAAAACAGAGAAAACTATACAACATTATTTTTATTATCTTGAACCGAATTTCGAGAGGTATTAATAGAAATTAAGAAAACAACGACTGCTTATTTTGTGTTAAGACATTTGACTCAAAGTATGAAGTTTGATGTTGGGAAATTATCCCTGAGATTAAACTATCATTAAATGCTAAATCATATATGTACTACATATACATATATATAATTTCCAATCTGTTGAGAACTACATTCGTACTAGTGGAGCAATTTTTATTATTTTTTTTTTTTTACACCAGACATTGATGGAGCAAGACAGACTCGTTTTCCCGCTCGACGAGAGGTTATAGGAGATCCTCGAGATTTAGATATATTACAAAAAATTGGTTGCAAAAATGGTTCGTGGCAGTGAGGTGAAATATGATACTTATCGTAGTTGTTGTCCAGAAAAGTATACACTTCGACCATTTTGCTTTCCGCACAGACTGCACACGTAAGAAAGTGCGCACTGTACACAGGCATATACACACGCCATCGCTAAAAACGACATTGCCACAAAAATATGGAATATTTGAAAGGAGATCACAAGGATGGCTTCGGGCAAACGCAGCAAATGCATTTCAACTCAGCACCGCTTTTAATGCCCCGCGTTCTTTTTGCTTCAAGAACAATTTCTGAACTTGACAACTTGAGATCTCGAGATTGAGAATGATTATCTTAATTTAAAAGCTCGTTAAGAAATTCTAGTCTAAAAATTTTAAATTAACTCTGCTATTTCTTTATATTTTCCTTACTCTCACTTATTAAGAAAACGGAAAACCTTTCAGAAATATGTTTTATAATTTATGACCTTATGCTTATTAATAGTAGCATTTTTTGTTGTGCGCAAAACTATATGCTCTCGCACATCTATGCTAATATTCTATTACATGTATTTTCATTTAGAATGTAAATTTGACAATTTTTTTAACCATGATTACACGTACATTTTTTAATGATAATTCCGTGAATACATTTTTAAATGATTAAATCAAACAATATAAAACTCTGTTTATTAGTAATTTTGGCTTATGATATAATTGTTTTTTTTCAATTTGTAAGATGAAAAAGTAAGTCGAATCATATATGTATATGTATGATTTAAAACCTGATTCGCGTTTGCTAATTCCATTCATTTACCGTTGCTTTAATCTAATGATCAATAAAAATCTTTCTTGAATTATCAACGATATAAAACTAGTAATAAGCATTAAAATATGACGCTATACGTATTGTTAATTTATAGAAGATATTTTTGACTATATTAAATTAACAAAATGTATGTTCTTTCATTGGGAAAACTATACAAAAATATACTGTAAACATTTTCCCACACATGCACAGCATTTCTGGATAATCTCAAAACTGACATATTTAATAAAAGCGCATGAAAAATCTTTAGATAACTTTTACCAGCAATATGACTACGAACAATTCGAGATAACGTAACATACTGCTGTATCGATTTCGGCTTTCAGTCATTAATCTGCAGCTGTTTGCAGTGCGTAAAACGGGCCTGTCGCCCGTATATGCTTAAGAAGATATATACATTTCACGTAGCTATAGTCGCTTTAGTTGAGTCTTTTGTATATATCGCACATAGAGCGGAGTAAAAGTTACGTACGATTGCTCGTCGATCGCATCGAAAGAGATATTTCGGTAAGAAAAGTTAGCTTGCTTTCGCACAAATATCTCTTTCCGAAAAACCGAGAGTTCGCATTATATCACTGCATGTCAAGCGAAATATCACTTTGAAACTTGCTTGAAAACTAGCCATCGAAATCATCCTCAATTGAACACGAATTCTTAGTAATAGTAGTGATAAAACAATGAAAAAGAGAGATGGAACATTGAAAATATATCGCCAACGGAATAAATTGCAGTTGACTTCCCGTTTATTTTACTAATATCCTTTTGTCACAAGAAAGTTACAAAGTTCTGCGTTTGATCATAATAGAACCTAAAGAGAGAACAAATTTACATGGGTGCTTGCAATTTGTAGTCATGAGCCAAAGGCTTCGAAGTTGCGAATATGCAAATATTCCCGTGCAAATTTATTCGTCGTATATTAGACTGTAATGTATATCTAATAATACAAAACGTATATCAATAAATGGAAAACCAATGAAATAGAAAAGACATGTAAAATGTGAAATTGAGCAGAATATTAAAGACAGGAGAAAAAAAAAGAGAAAGAGAGACTAACTAATATTGAATTGATGTCACCTAAATATAATATAGATATGAAAAGCTAGTCGTTTACTCTACGTAAAGCTTGACCTGCATGAATATAGAATGTAACATGCATGTATTATGCTTCTTGCACTTTATCTAATTCAACTCGAGTATCCCTTCAGTGCGTTTTTATTTTCTTGTTTCTCTTATTTTTGTAAAGTGTAAAATATTGATGTTAGACTTTCTATTGTTATTTTATACATATATCCTCATCTTTTAACAATTGCAACCAATTGCATAACTATTTCGAAGTTATACAAGTTCAACAAATGTTTAATTAAAATGTTATTATCTGAAAACTTAATTATAATTTATACGTGTACTTTTTTTAATAAATCCGTTGTTATAAATATTATTAAAGATCGAATATCATATTGATATCATCGATTGCTCTTATACTAATCAGGATGGGATACTCGAGGTTATCAAAAAAATTGTCTTTATTTACATATTTCGATTCGCAGGCACAGTGATCGCTACCACTATCATCGCACGGCCTGGCTTATCCTTTCTTTCGAATATCAATTAGCATCAGGATAATTGCATCTACAATAGACCTGGCTCAACCTCGTATTCGACCTGAAAATACTTGCTGCAGCGTGTTTTTATGCAAAAGGATAATATTTTCTACGACACAAAAAGGAATGGAAGAAATAATGTAAGAAATCAAAGCGAAACAAAGAAGCGATTCGCATCAATTTTATCGGCGCGGCGTAGCAATTCGTGATATTTCATCGTAGATTTCGTAGTAACGTAAACTCAATTTATCTGATAACCACGAAGAAATTTGCAATGATTAGCTCAAAAAAGCTCGTTAGCCTAATCTTGCGTTCACTTCACCGTCGTTAATGCGCTCTAAATAATACAATGGTACACTATGACTATAATATTACATGTAATTCTTATCCGATTTTTACGTTCTTACTACTGCATCACGTGATGGAGGTTGAGTCATGGTGAAGGTAGATTCAGATTAGAATATTTATATAGTAGAAGAGAGTGTGAGAAACTGTAACACGCGAAAGTAAAAGTGAAGAATGATGCAGAAGTGAAAGATAGAATGAATGGAAGAGAGAAAGAAAAAGAGCAAACGTTAAGAGAGCACACAGACGAGCGCGAAGACGAGTGTGAAAGAGAGGGAGAGAGAGGATTATATTGTCGAGCATATTTCTATTACTTTCTTGAAATTCGGACCAAGACTTAACCAGCGTTTGTGTGTTCAAATGGTAAAGTGTGTTCTTGGTTGCGGTCCAGCTAGCGGATGAGGACTGGCTGACGCCTAGCCTTCTAGTGTGATGGTAAGCAAGTATACTCCACCAACAGGAACAACTTCTACAGCAACAACAGTTACCACCACCATCACCACCATCACTTCCTCCTCCACTACTACTACCACCACCAACAACAACAACATTTCCGTCATCATCGACGCCACCGCGACAGCAAAAGCAGTAAAACTCATTCCACTTCCGGCTTGACAATGCGCGAGTCGAAAGGTGGCAATCACAAAAACCAGATAACACTCGCTTAGTAAAAACGAAGAAGTAAAGTGAGAAATAAAAAAAAGAGATAGTAAATAAGAATCATAATCCTAGGTAACCTTGCGCAAAATGCATCCAACATCCCTATCTCCCCATAAGTTTTCACGTCCAATATAAGAGAAAAGAGCCGCTACCGATTATTAAGCGGAGATATCTCTCGTCCAGTCTATAGGATAATCTAGTATCTCGCTCGGCTTGAAGAAATAGATAGCATTTGTCGTTACAGTAGTGACTGAAGCTTCAATACAGAACACGAAATTCGGCAGTACACGCGAATACGCCATTCGTGATGGTTTGACAGCGTTTTTTTTTAGAAAAACTGGCCAATTACGCATACTATTGTATCGTCCAGCGAGCACATGAGGGACACGAATCCGCATACACGTTTAACGGGATCGTGATACCCGGTTTATCACCATTTTAACAATGCGTAAATTCTTGATCCTATGGTGAAAAAGAAGAACGTCGACAGACAGTCGGATTCTAATTTACCGGGATTCGTTATTTTTGTAGTTTGGGCTTAACAGCGAAAAATACTAACTCAAAAACGAAGTAATGTCGAAGGAAATGCTTGTAGCCGAATGCGGTAGCCGACGAGTGGCCGCGGTGTATAAATGATAAATACAAAGATCGATTAATCGAAAAAAAAAGAAACACTCGTGAAGATATAAATATATAAATATACATATATAAATAAAAAAAAATATATATACATAAAAGAATAAAAATTATTATAAACGAAATTCAACAATTAGCTAGTTAGATAGGTATATTATATTAAAAGTTGCTCGAAACCGATTCAAAATTCGGCGGCAAAGGGGAGATGGATCTTATGTATATTCGATAGCGCAGCGTTTCTACGGGGAGACAAAATAATCAGCCCCTTTATAAAATTCTTATCCTGTCTCGAAAACCACGGAACTACTACCGGATCCACGTGTCTTATTCCATTTTCCATCCTGCGAAGACTTCGTAACTCGGTTAATACACTTACTTATCGAATTCGTGGCCGAACGATAAATTCACGCATGAAATCTTTGCAAGCAGTTCAATATTCGCTTTTATCATTCGAGTCTATCTTTCGGACACGCACTTAGGCCAGTTGGATACTTTTATAAAACAAGTACGCGTCGATGTGGGAGATGCCGACAAATTTAGCACATTCCGAACTGAGAAAGTGACGGAACGCGCGAAACACCGATCGGATCGCCGTGGTTTTTAATAAATGTTAGATTTTTATATAAGATGTGACTGTAGAATCAAAGAAAATCGAGACTATATGACGTTTAAGCAATAAAACGTTAAGCTTAGGAAGGAAGAAGGCATCTACTCATCCGTCTCTGTGTAAATCAATCTCGATTGCGTAAACGAGAAACACACGAATTCTCAACAACGAAAAAAAAAAATAATAATTATAAAGAAACAAAATAGTTAGAAGAGACGATGCATGCGTATATTTTAATTGTCCGAGGAGCAGTAAAACGATCACAATCTCCCCAATGTCCCGAATTTCGACTTGGCCAAATTGATACAAAAAAAAAGACGAAACCGAGACTCATATAAGTCGTTAACGTGTAAGCAATTGCATGAGTGCAACCGTACATATGAAAGAGCGTTAGAAGGAGAGGGAAAGGAGGTATGAAAGCGAAAAAATAGAAAGAATGAGAGGGAGAGAAAGGACAAACGACGAATAAGCCGCACAGCACAAGCGAGAGACGTAAAAAAAAGAGATTAAATAATTCGTAGATAGATATATTGCACAAACAGCACGAAAGTTAGATTAGATGAGTTAAGTTTTTGCCCACGCGTGCCCTGTCCACGCGGCTACTGTTCTAGGTCTCTGATCATATATAATCTCATCATCGACGCGCTTCTTCGCCATTAAAATCATCCTGCAAATCGATGAAATAATAACACAAGCAGTTTCAATATTTAAAAATAAATGAGAAATGGCTGAAACTTATTGCTATCCGTCTCCTTTATTTCCGTGCTCGATAGTTTGTATCTTCATCGTCCTGCTTTTTGCTCCTACCGCTTTTTCGCACTTCTTTGGTTTTAAGTATCGCGACTCATGCTCGTTGCACCGATAATACCGTCGTCCTTGCTTTTTCTGAGATCGCTTTTATATCGGAGCAGTGAGTAGAGAACCGAGATAAATTTATATGAAAACTAACTGACACACGTTAAAGCTTGAAGTTTTTCAATCGTCAAAAAACTCTCTAAAATGAGAATAATTTTGATGTAAAATATAATTCTTTTATATGATTTTTTAAAATATATTGCGTAAAATTTTTATAATTATTTTTTCACACTGTATCCTAACAAATTATAAGCTCGAAGTCGCGAAATGTCATCTGCCTTGCATAGAACATGTTTGAAATTCGATATTTGACAAGAGCCTTCAACATCGCTGTTTTTGTTTGTGTTGAAAGAGCTTTACTGTTCGAAAGCATCATTGGTCGCGCTTTAAAGGGCAAACTGAATGATGTATCTTTCAAAATGAAAATCTTTCATAATATTACATTCCATGAATACAAAATCCATAATTTTATCTGCGCAAACAAATAAAATAATAAAAAATAAAAAAGAAGAGAAAAAGAGACGGGAAATGCAGTAATTAAGGGGCGAGAAAAGTGCGTCGATGATGACAGAAACGAGATAGACGACTTTGTTATTAATCAAAAGACAGATGGATCGTGTTTTGAGCGAATCAAAAGCGTTCGGCGTTTCTCAATCAAAAAGATCGATGATCAAAGTACAGCATATATGAATGCTCGAAACGCAACAAAGAAAGTGGAGAAACGACACAATCAAACCTGCCCAACATCGCGTAGAGTTTAGATGTTTTATGATGAAAGTAAAGAGAGAAAGAGTGTGTCTATCAACGATCCATCGCGAATGCGTCAACCAGCTAAAAGAGTACGACTTTCCCTTTGGAAAGAAAGCTCGACAATAAAAACCGCCACATTTTTCAGAGAAAACATTTTCAATCGCGATGAATGATTCTGATACAATAATTCATATTATTCATATGACAAAATGTTTCAAAAATAATAATATCGCAATATTGGCTGCATTTTTGTCGCCTTGCTTTCTTCTTAATTTGCAGAATTTGCTTTGAGAAAAAAGTGTTTAGAGAAAATTATATACAATTTACTGTTACGAATTTTAATTTGTATATTCGCACGAAAGATATTAAAGGATATTTCACCAAATTGATTTCTAATTTGTGTTATTGTGTCAGTATGTTTATTAGAAATATATTTATTCATAGATATGTTCAATTACGTGAATAATTTCTTATTGAATGCATTTAACTTATTCTAAATTTTATTATGTCTTTAATTTAGTGCAACATATAAATTATTATGCACGATCGCACGTAATGTAAGCGCGACAACAATTATTTCCTGCAGTTTTTGCATGTTAATAATCAAATTTTGTAATCATTTCTCAATTCAGTTCTCTCGTATGTATAACCTGCACTTTGAAAATAATTGTATTTCTGTATCTTCTTATAATCAAATGTCATTCTTTCGACACTCATTTCAGTTATCTTTATAACAATCGTGTTTTAGCATCAAATATATAACAAATTGTTTAAAAAATTAAAAATTTCAGAGAATATATATATAGATATACTGTATGCATTATGATAAAATGCAGGTTACAATCGCGATTTGCAAAACTTTTACATCACTAAAATTTTAACTTAAAAGGAAATCGTCATGCTAACTGAATCTCGTTTTCTGATAGAAATTGGGTGACTAGCCTCGAGGACACGGCACGAGTATGCAAAGAGAAAGCAACAAAATTATAAATAAATATATATACATACATATATATAAATACAAAAATGCATATATATATTATATATATATATATAAATATATATACTTGTGCGCGCAGCAGCGGCGAGGGCTGTTATTTTCAATCGTTGTGCGTAAAATAAAGCACTGTGCGTGAGAAAGTTAGCTCTTAAGAAAAAAAGCGACATGAGAAAACATATAAGTAAAAAGAAAATATCGTGTACATTATTAGTTAGGCGAAAGAAATAAAAATATAGGTTATTTTTGTGAAAGGTGGAACGAGCGAGGGGAGAGAGGGGGAACGAAGATCTCGAGTGGCAAGAGGGACCCAATAGCAGACTGTAATACGAATTATGCAATAAGAATCTGTTACCGCGTGCGTTTGCATCTGTCAATCAAATTCTGTACAGTAACGTATACTGGGAAGCGTTTAATCGACAAGAGGAATTAATTGGATCTGACACACTCTACTTTTACGTTCCTTGCGTAAATCACTTCTTACGTCAATCACTCCCCTTATCGAATTGCTCGCTATGCACTCCGACTCGATTCCACCTTCGACAGAGAGAAAAAAAAAGTGAGGGATCCTGCACTCTTTTAAAGAATCAGCGTGGACGCCCGATCCTGTAAAAAGTATTTGAAGAAAGGCGCCTTAACATTAAGGCGTGTATATTGACTTAATGTAGACCCGTGAGTTGTCTAGAACATATACCGAGTGGAGCTAGCCGATCGAGCGAGTCCTCATCGCGTTAAAACGGGAAACCAAAATGTAGCATAAAATGATAGATAGATAATTATTAATGTAATCTGACTTAGTAGGCAAACAAAAATAGGGGCAGTGGAATCGCGGACGGAAACGACGGACGGCGGGGAAGTGTGAAGCGGGGCGATAAATTGTAAAAAAAAAAAAAAAGGAGACAAACTCGAGACGAAGGCCACAGCGCAAACCTAGCAAGAGATTCACTTATGGTACCTAAAATCACGGACCCATCCAGAAAAAAAGACACGCGCGCGCGTACACGAGATGTAAAATACATATACGCGTATGTAAATACACACGACACTAAGTACACAAGATGCACACGGCATACGTGTAGAACTGTAGCGATGAGAAACTTAACAAAAACCCTAGACGTAGTCTAGTCTAGCTTGTCGATCACTAGGTTAACGAGAAAAAGCGTTCATGAGAAATAGTGCAATAATTAATATCCGCAAATTATACTCAGAATCCTTATACACAGCACAAACGGCAAGACACGTGTATATGCAAACAAACCGAAAACATAAAGATACATGTATACATGTACACATACATAAATACATACAGAACACGCGTGCTGCGGCTGCTGCCTCCATCCTTTGCCCGCGTCCTTAAGTCGCAGTTCTGAGATTCTACATATAACCCGGCGACGTATATCAGACAGTGTAAATTCACCCCATTTCGAAATTTTTACCGTCGCGTCGTTTAAGGTCTAACAAGCGACCGCTCTCCTGACTATTCGAGACTTTTATCGAGAATTTCTCATTACATTCTCCAGTTGCAACAAAATTCGAAATGCATCCCTCTTTTTTCTTCACTTCTCGATTTCACTCGCGCGTTCAAACGTGTGATATATTTTCTCTCCCTTATAAATCTTTATATCTATGCAAATTTCAATCTTTTTGTTCATGCGCTCCCTCCTTTTATGCTCTCTTATTTGTTTCCTTGACTGATGTCCTGATGCCACCGCACACGTTCCTCCGCCCGGATAGACTTATCTCGCGGAGACTTACCAAACGATAGTCGACAATCATTGAAGAAACATACATTTAGAAACTTGTACGTGTTCTTTTCATTGAGGGCTATATAGGTATTAATTATCGTTACCGACATGTTTGCACAAGTCTCGTGCAGGCAATGGACAGAGGAGGTGGTGTCGGTCCTGGAGAAAGTAAGAGAGCAAGGTGTATCGATTAACTATCCTATCGTGTTCGCAATGCTTTTGCCTCTCGCAAAGTGTACTACAAAACGCGATTTTGATATCGATCGACACGTAGGCATCGCGAATGCACACACGAAACATATCATCGAGCTAATCAACTGATCCCACCACTCCTAATTAGGGACTGCAGTAAGGGACATGGAATGCAATTAATCAATTGGTGCTTCAAGTTACTTAAACTGTGTGCTTGCGAAAACGTTTCTTCTCTTTTCGCGATGATATAGAACCGTGACGCTTAAAAATTTCAACAAAACAGTTTTCACCGACGAATCGAAATGTCGCAAAATTTATTGCACGTTGCATTTATTTTGTTCATTTCGAATCGCACACGTAGCGATATGACAATCTTCTAATAATTTATTTCGATGTTATTCGAATGTGATATCAGGAATAGTATATTGTATTTATGAGTTGTAGACTTAAATTTTAAGAGACGTCGCTTTAAATTTTATTCACGAGTCTTAACTTTCGCACTTACGAAAAACTTTGTGAACGATAAATTATTAAAGACAAAAGACAGCGAGTTATCCGAATTCTTTGCGTGTTGACTATCGATATGGGCATATCAAATCTATAGTTTTTATCCAATAATCTTATTAATCATTAACTGAAACGGAACTAATTTCAAATTCTTCTCAACTATTGAGTGTCCTTTATCGGAAGAGACGAAAATTTTAGATCGTGAATCGCTAAACTAAACACGGGTATATTTTTCCTTCTAACGCGAAGTGCATTTAAACTAAACTATTTATTTTAAGATGCCCCTCGAGAGTCTAATATAATTCTTAGCGGGACGAGGGCAGCAGTCGGGCCAAATTGGGATACTTACCGATGCAAAGCACCGTGGAAACAGCTTAGTGTTAGTGCAAGAATGTTTAAGAGAAAAAGCACACAGTGAAAGAAAACAAAAGTAGGAGCCGTAAGCGTAGATACCGAGCATAACATAAAGTAATGTATGTATATAATCATATATATTATACAAGAAAGACTACAAACAGACACGCGCATCTATATATAATAAAAAAAAAAATATGTATATTATATATACATATGCATATATGTGTAAGAAGATAATATTAGCCAACAGATAGAAGCTATATCGAATATAAGCTTAACGAAGAGAGAGAAAGAGAGAGAGAGAAAGGGAGCGAACGAATGCGGGGCATCTATAAATGCGCGCGCCCCGCGACATACTGTGTTAAATACCTTTAGTTGTAAGAAATAAGAACACATTAAAGCGTAATTGTAAAAGAAAATAGATGTTGTGGCTAGCCTGCTGGACCCCCGTGCCCCTAAATATAGGCACGTCTAATGTATGGAGCGATAACGAGAGAAACAGAGTGAGAAAGAGAGGATGCATGTGCATGAAAGAAAGCGTGTGTAAGATTAACAGGGCGAAAGAAAAGATTAACAGGGCGAGCATGCGAAAAGAGGAAGAGAAACGAAGAATATACAGAGCATGAGAGAAAGATAGAGTGATAGTGAGAGAGAAAGCGAGAGAAGAAAACGAGATCTTATTAGTACGCCTCAGCGAAAGAAAGCGTTAAGAGATAAAAATTAAAAAAAAAAAAAATGAAGTACGATAATTATGATCGCGTCCGATTCATACAGAGATTACGACGTTCCTTCATTTTTCTCGTAGCTTTTCGTACAATATTTGAGGAAGTACATATGCGTTGCGGAGCCTGTAGATGCGCCCCTTCTTCCTATCTCGGTGCGACACGCGGCATATCACTTACGATCGTATGCTAAGAAGTTAGGTGCCTTTATCCACTTCTTTGTGCGTATGCATTTCGATAAAGAGAAGATCAACGAGTAAGCGAAAAACCGGGAGAACGCGCGAACAATCGGGAAAAGTTACATACATCACATACATCGGTAAAAAACATGCATTGTATATCACAAGAACTGCATAGCGAAAACTCGAGGGAAGAGGCATCCCGGTACGACATCCATCCATCGTGCATACTATCGTTCGATATTATGCACATATTACGGAAACGGTTCTCCGAAATGTAGGTTCGACGAAAGCGCAAGCGTCATAATCACGAAAGAGCGACGAAGGGTGGAAAAGGGGTGCGAGCAAGCGCTCGCGACTTAAGTAAGATTCTTCCGCGATTAAACGTATGGCCCGCGGGGTCCTATGGCAGCCTCGTTGCATATTTAAGTTAAGGAGCTGGGAAACGCAGCTCAAAAGCGACACGCCGAGCGAAAGCTGTATAATGTACATGTAATTTGCAACGACGCGCGCAGCGGCGCACGCATAAGCACAACAATACATAAACTATTACATACGTACACATACATACTAACGCAACACACATACACATACGCATGTAACGAGAGAGAGAGAGAGAGAACGTGTACTACGCGCGCGGACAGTAGAGACAGACGTGTGTACACAGACACAGCGGAATGTGTACACTTGCAGAAACAATTTTCACACGATACACACGCAACACTACCGCGAGACGCCCTAGGACGTGCGTAAGAAAAAAAAAAGGAACGTGTATGATATTATATATACATAATATAGCATATAAAGTACACTATAAATAATGATGAATATAAATAAAAATATATATAAATACTATAAAAAAGTAAACAAAGTATAAATATGAAGGAAGTATATAAACGAAAATATAGGATAAAAAACACGCATAGGGCTTAAGAATACAAGATATTATTATGATGATGTATGGTTGGTTTATAATGTAAAATATATTATAGAAAATGTATATTATTGTTTTACTTTCCAGTCAACCCCCTGCACTACTTTGATAGAATTCTTATTTCAACAATCAAACATATGTATGCAACGAGAATATATATATATATGTATACTAATATTGAACTCCAAATTATTAGTTTTAAAAGAGAAACGAGACAAAAAAATTGATGCAGAAATTGGAATAAATAAGGTAAGTACATATATATAAGATAAATTTATATATATTGTATATATATATATATATATATATATATATTTTTTTTATGTACAATATATATATATATATATATATGTATTTTATGTTTGCAAATGCTTATTTATCAAAAAATATATAATGATTATAATATATGTGATAAATGCAAATATATTATACATGCCTATTTATTATCATTAAATTTTTTTAATAAAAGATATGCATTTACAAAAATAAAAAAATAAACTTGCTAATAATTTCACAAATTTTCTCTTGCTCATATTTTTTGCGTGGCTAGAATAATTTCGAAGCAATAATCTTTCTCATCTGTTTACATGATAAAAACAAAGAGCATTTAACTTTAAGTACAAACAGCGCATAACAATTAAACGTTTGTATTCAACGGTAATTAAACGTAAACATCGCTCGCATCGATAGTAGCCGCGAGATATAACGGCTGTATACGCTTGTTCTGCCTGTTAAAAAAATAAGGGTTGCATGCCGCAACGCAGGTAATTATACAAACGCGGCAAATGTGAAAACGAAGAGAAGGAAATACGTGCACCATGCGAAACATTAATTGAAAAAAATGAAATTATAACGCAATTGCACAATATTGCAATATATTTAATCTTAAAAATATTTGTATTTATCTTTTAAAATCAAAATTTCTGCAAACAAATAAAAGATGTATTTCATAGATCACAATATTTTTAAATAGCTAGAAATATTATTTAACCAAATTTCAAAGAGGAGAGCAATCGATCGATCAGTTGTAGAGAAAGAAGAATAATATGTTCGAACGTGTAAGAGATGAATATGAACAATTTAAATATCGCGTATACCTATTTTATATTTTGCCAATCCCCACTGCTTTTCAAGAATTTCCGATAAACATAAATAGGCTAAAACTTTTTTATTGCAACAACTATGTTGCTTAAATATGTGCTAATTTAATGTTTAAAGCCATCCTAATTTCTCCGTTATCGAATAATTATATCGAATACGCGCAATTATATTTTAAAGCGCGACGAAATTGAAAATAAACAAGTGAACTGATGAACGCGAAGTGATCTTTCCCAGCAAAGTTTGTGTGCTAGGAGTCATGGATGCTACTGTGAAAGGCATCCTTTGCAAAGCAGTCCTTCATGCACATTTGCGCACACCTGTGTACACGTCTCTGTGTAGATAGGAGATCGTGTGTTGCGTATAACCGGTAGATACACCCGCGCTTAATTGCGAAGCAGAGGTGCGATGCCCGGTTATTTTAGTCTGGACTGACATGACAGCCGAGGAAGTCCGAACCCCGTGTATGTAGCAGCATCACAGTAATGCTCAACCACTCACGTGTCGCATTGCACATATCATTTTCTTAGCTGTGCTAATTTCATCATATTTATCACTTTCTTTTTCTCAGAGAGAGAGAGAGAGAGAGAGAAAGATTGAGAGATTGACTTTTATTAGCTTTTTCAACATGTATCACCGGGAATTTATATTTGTTTGAAAAACTAATAGTGATAACATATACGGTATGTTATGTATATAAATATTATATAATTATGTAGGCAATCGTTTTTGTCCTATTCTGATATAACAATATTATATTAAATTTAATAATTATGTTTTCAGACGTGAATTTTGCAGCCATTCTATTTAGATAACGTGAAGTTTTCATTCCATGCAAATTCCTATTATTATTCCTATGGTTATTATCCCTAATTTATTATTCCTATTATTAACAAACAAGTGTGCGCCATTATATATGTATAATCACTGCATAACTAAACTTAGAAAAAACACGTATCTACAATCAAAAATGCGATTTCTTCCAGCGAAAAATGATGGTTGAATCGATATCGATTTGACCGATCATTTCTCGCTGGGTTGTTGATTCCTAACATACATTAAGATTTTTATTTGTAAATTAAAGAAAAAGTGTATAAAAAGATAATTAACAAAAAATATCTCATGACTTTGACAAAATACTTTTAATTATGAACAAGGATTTGTTAGACTAAATAATGAGAAATGGTAATGTATCTTAACATTGTCAGACTCTAGGTTCATAATCAAAATTTGGGAACCCCTATCATATGGATACGCGTTCACTAACACATCTACACATACATATACGATCTATCACATATCTTTACGCGCGTGATGTGTAGATATACGATCGTCTCCCATCGTGTGCGGACGCACATATGAGCAGATCTCCGTTAATACATCGAATACCCAACGGCCGTACAAGAGAATAGCGTAGTATAAAGCATAAACTACAATTAGTGGTAATCCGCGTGACACGGGCATGGCACCCTTTGCGCATATTAGAGCATTAGCTGCCGACTCATACGAACGAACCGTACATCATTTCGGGACGTGCCCACGTCTACTGACAAAATCGTTAAATTTACGAAGAAACACGACTGACTCGATACATAGCTGAACAACTCATTCACCATGCAATTCCGATACACACATCGTATGCATGTACTATTATTGTTGCGGATAGCAAGGCTGTCTGTCTGTTATAAGATTATATTTGATACTTAAGGGAAAAAGATCGATGACTGAATTAAATAAAATTTGTATCTACTAGAAAATTTTATTTTATTAAAAATGAGTTGTTGAACGAGATTATTTTTATTTGCAGTGTAATTTTGCAATTATTCATTGCGAAAATTAGTTTCATCGGTTATAATGATAAACGATCTAAGCTCATTTTACAAATGTAGTTGGTTAATATGGTTTTTATTATTATCTAGAATCTAGATGTTGACTGTATATATTGTATGGAGACTTTGAATCCTGTATAGTCACTTACCTGTCAAGCTATAGAAATTGAACAATTGAAGTAATTTTATGGTGATGGTTATGGTTATTTTGCGGAAATAAATATGCATAATCATAATTAAGAATCGAGTGAGACAAAACGATCGTAAAAAAAGTACTTAGGATTACTCTGGAAAGATTTTGCATTGTTTGCACGATCTGTTTTAAGAGAATGCAAGATTCTTAAAAAATATGTTTTATATATATGATTTGTGATATAAAAAAATTATTTAAAAGTTGCGATACTTGTTAGTATCAGGCTGTAATCGATAACCGTGTTTATGCGATATACCAACCACGTTTACACAACATTTACGGTATTTGTCCTACATATAGTTATGCTTTGTACATATATTTCTATAAATGTTAAAATTTCCAAAAAATAAAATCGTATCTGTGCATTTTCCAACATATTTTTTTTTTTTTTTTAGCAAAATAAGCATTAAAAGTTAAAAAAAGAACGTGATTTAAATTATATGTTTTTTTTATAAAACACCCACCAGGAAAAGTTTGCAATGATCGACTTTACCCTGAACTGAATTTTGTAGCTAGGATAAAGTTTGATTTTACAAACTAGATTCAGAAACTGTATGTTACATTCACGCTAGATAACCTGTTCCGTATCAACAGTCAGTTCCAGTTACTTTGTAGTAATTTGCCTAACAGATAGCTATGGTGCAACTTTTACTAGAGAATACAAATCAAGCGACCTGCATGAGTACCCATAGTTAGAAGTTTAAACTTAGATGACTAGACACACTGGTTTGCGACGACATATCTTTCATTTTGTGGTGTCTATAAAAGTTTACATACATTTCACATTATATATTTATAATCCACAATTATAAATTTTGATGTAAATTCAAACTTGCATTAAAGCAAGTATATTAGTTAATAATGTCTATGTTATTCAATTTTGTCATAATTTATTGAAAATATTGATTCGTACAATATCATGCAGTAATTAATAAATAAGTATCCTAGAAATACACATTTCATCGATAAAATATCATAAAAGCATTTTATTCATCTCGTTTTGCGCGGAACATACATTAATCACAGCGTTGCTTACAATTTTTTTATGAATTTATAATTGCCTGAGTTAAAAACTGTATGTTAAAAACTCATATAAAACTGGCCATCGACATATGTATTCGCAATATGTACTGCAATTAACATCTATCATTTAAAAATAAAGGAGAAAATTAAAACCATTATCAACAAACACATACACACAAACTTTTTATAAAACATGTATATATGTGTAAATATATATTACGAGTACATATATATATCAATAGCCATTTTTATATGAGTTTTCAGCATATAGAGAAATGTTTAATTCAGACAATTATAAATTACTTTATAAAAGATCTATAAGAGAGCAACACTATATGATTAATGTATGTCCTGTGAATATAAAAAAATGAATAAAATACGTCCATGATGTTTTATCGATGAATATAAAACATTTATTTCCAGGTTACTCATTTATTAACTATACCGCATGATATTAATCGTTATATGTTTGTTTTATATCAACGATTGTCATCACAATTATATTCCAGCGTATTTCGCCGACAATAAAAATAAACAGTAACATTCTATACAGTAGCATTCCGTACATGCCAATTAAGTCTAATTGATGCCTAACGCAAACAAAGGAAATGCGGTGCGGAATTCCAATTCCTTCATTTCAATCAACAGAAAGTTTAGAGCAACAGCCTTGGAACGGAGCAAATGTGGTTCGCAGAATTGGCCTCATCGGTCACTAGAGAAGCGTGGAACAGCGTAGTTCCCTCTGCCATTCTCATTTGCGGTTGTCGGTCCACTGCCATTCCACCGCCCTCGCAACCACTTTCGTCCTTTACACCTTCGTATATTTCGTTCTAGCAACATCACGTTACGTTGTAAGTCTTCTCCGAACGGTAAGATGCATAGTGATTGATTGTTTGATGCTTTGGTAGCATGCCGAAACTATTGAAAGCGGTCGGAATGGGCGTTGGAATCCAGCAATTCTCGACTCTCACGCAATGTTATGATTAGACGTTATTATAACAGATAATGTAATTATATAAAAAGAAATTCAACATTTAATGCCCAGCATCAATCAATTTGATATTATCAAATGTCTCTTATTTTCAATTAGTAGACTTGCAGCATAACAATTCTTTCAAATAAATAAATTGTTATATAAAAAAATAATTTTCTGTATATGCCACTATTTTTTTCACGTATTTTTAATTCTCTATTATATGCTTTTACAAGCGGATAAAGAAACAATTTTATACTGACAATGATATCTCATTTGTTGTTCAAAGATTAAGCATAACTTAAAATTTTACAAGTAAGTTATTATCATTAATATATATTTAAAAAATTAATAAATCTAAAAAAATTATATTTATATACTTTTATGTTTGTTGTAATAAAAAATTGTAATCTCTCTATATAGAAGTATCTCTAATTTTAAATTTCTATTACATTAATGTTTGTAATAATAAATATATTGTAATGGAGCGTGCAAATTTCTCTTTGACACGATGTAGTACACGTGTAGAAATAATAATGTTCAAAGTATTATGGTACATAACTTCTGAAACTTGAAAACCCAGTCAAGGGTCAATGTATGCCAATTATGAGAAGCTACCTAAATCTCCCTTGAGGGCTTTTCTCGCTCCAAAGAGAAACGGAGAGTAAGTACCATCATTAGCAAAATAGACAAGAGAAATGTTGGAAAATAATTCACATAATATGTTATTAGTCCACATGAAAATACACGAAGAATCTTAGAATTTGTAAATTTTGATTGATAATTAACTATAATAATTTATTCTCTATAACTGTATATTTTATATATATATATATATATATATATATATATACACCTATAGCTAATATAATTATATATAAAAAGAAATTTCAACGTTTAATCATGCAATCAATATATTTGATATTATCAAATGTCTCTTATTTTCAATTAGTATATTTCAATTAGCATAAAAATTCAGGATGTCCAGCAGACTCAATGAAATAAATTCTGTGACTTTTTCAGATTTTCCAAGACCAGAAATTAATTTTTTCGTTGACTTTTTAGTATTATTTTTTTCAAATATATAATTTGCATATATCTATATGATAAATCAATTAAATGTTAAATCATAAAATCCTTGAGATATTTTGTCAACAATGAAAAGGTTCGAAAGTTAAAAAACAAAAATTTTAATCAATTATACAGTCTCCATTATGTACAATCGAAACAAACATGTCACTATAAACTATTCAAATAATTACCTTTTTTATTTATATTATATTACATTTTTTAGTTTTATCTCGATTAAACACATTGAAATAAAATAACACGACGATAAAAATATAAATTAACGAACACGCTGTAGATGAATCGATCAACACAGAAAATTAGCGTGCTGGAAGTCAAAAAAAGTTTATATTTATATTTAATAAAAAATTTAAAATTATTGAGACAAATGTAGAATAATGTAAAAAAATCCAGATAAATAGTAAAATTTCCTGACTTTTTCCTGACAATTCCAAATTTATAAAATTCCCTGACAATGCTCGGTTTTCCCTGACCGCTAGACACCCTGAAATTCTTTCAAATAAATAAATTGTTACACTAAAAAATTATTTCCTGTGTATGCTGTTATTTATTTTTTTCAAGTATTTTTATTAATTCTTTATTATCCGCTCTTACAAGCGGGTAAAAAATATATATATATATTAATATACGTATATACATATATATATATATATATATATATATATATATATATATTATGTAAAATATATTATAAAAATAAATTATATATGTATGTACATATATAATATAAAATATATACTATTTTACTATAGCCTTTTATATGTAGTATAAATGTATATAATTATAGGTATACATATTTGTAATTATATATATATGACAGCTTTTATATACAGCTGTAAATGAAACAAAACTGTGCGTGTAACAAAATAATCAAACATATAATTAGGATCAATCGCAATCGCGCAATTTTATGATGCCAGAGTAAAACCTCATTGACTAAAATTTGTCAATGTTTTATGTGCATTTTTAAGCAAAGCGAAAATAATATTGTATATTAATATATTCTCGACTCACCAATCGAAGCGTTAATGATGTTACAGCTTTGAACAAAGCAAATCATCACATCTTGTACCATCTGGGGTCCATTTGCTGGTTCCAAAGATAAAAATTAATGATGTCGCTGTTCGGCGACCATGATTTGATTTTCGCTTACACAGCAAAAGCGCGGCGTCTAATATCTAATTAGAATAAAGAAAAAACCATTTATTTTCTGTTTATTTCATGTTTCAAGTTACCTTGTGATTTTGTCTGTTATATAAATCTAAAGTTCAAAATAATTAATATTAATTTATATCTACTTTATTACCTGATTACTTTATTATCGTGTTCTTTCCTCGCTGGAGACCGCCAAAATGTTCGCATATTCGTAAGCTGTGAATACAGCTGCATTTTCTGTTGCGCATGCGCGGAGATCAGAACATCAATGGTCGTGCGATTATTGGCTTCACCGAACGAGACTAATTTCAAGCCGTGCATACGTAGAGCGCAGAGGAGTGGTATTTATAACCTTAACAGAGGAGAAAAAGAGAGGTTATATTGTGAAGATATTAATCCTTTTTTTACAAATTTGCAGGCTGTGTTGCTTGCATTCAGTAAATAGAATAAAAATTTACAAAATGTCGTATTTAACGAGAAAAGAAGTGGACGAAATAAAGCCGCAGATCGAGAAAGCGGTTCATAAATTTCTTGGCTTCAGTGAACCAGCAATTGTTACTACTGCTATTAATTGTATCACTTCTGGCTATGATAAACGTAAAACAGCAGGTTAGTAGTAAAGAGTAAAATATAAATCTGCATTCTTTATAGTTTTTAACATTAGGATATATTATTACCTAAGGTAATAATAATATATGTATATTGCTATATTACACATATACATATATATTTATATGAAATTTTATATGTATGTTCTTTAAATTTTATAGATAAATTATCAGCCTTACTAGAAGATAAAAAAGCTTCTAAGTTAACAGAAAAAATATTTACAATTTATGATGACACTAAAGCAGCTCAAAAGAATAAGAAGCGACCGCATTCTGAAGATAAAGATAAAGATAAAGACGCAAAGAAATCGAGATTTAAAGATGATGAAGCAAAAAATGAAAAGACTGCTGAAACTCAGCTTTCTGCGGATAAGGTATTACTTCTACTTTCATGATTATACTTATAATATTTTAAATGTTTTTATAATATTTATTTTCTGTATATATTCTTAGATAAGGCAAATGATGGCTAATGCACAAAGAGAAATAGAAGAAAGAAAAAGAGCTTTGAAGGCAATAAAGCAAGAAGATGTTGCTGCAAAGCCATTATTTAAAGGACGAGATGCATTACCCACAGTAGGAAGCATGTACAATCAAGGCCTATTGAGTAAAACAGATTCAGACAAAGCACGAAAAATAGCTGCATTACAAGCACAGATCAGAAACAAGTTAAATTCGGGATTACTTGCTAATATTAATGTACCGGACAAACCAACTCCTTTAATCTTAGATGAATCTGGTAGAACAGTAGATATAACTGGCAAGGAAGTACAACTTACTCAAGTAGTGCCTACATTAAAAGCTAATATACGTGCAAAGAAAAGAGAAGAATTTAAAGCTCAATTACAAGAATCGAAAGGTCCAGAAGAAATACAAGATACTCAGTTTTTTGATAACAGAATAGGAGTAAAACCAGCAATGCGTGGTAAACGTGCACTGAAGTTCCATGAACCAGGAAAATTTCAGCAACTGGCAGAGAGAATACGCATGAAGACACAATTAGAGAAATTGCAAAATGAAATCAGTCAAATTGCTAGAAAAACAGGGATCAGTTCAGCAACTAAATTAGCTCTAATTGCACCTAAAACTGAAGCTCTCTCCGAAGATGTGCCTAATGTAGAATGGTGGGATTCTGTTATATTAACTAGTGGATATCCTAATGAGAATGAGCCCACGACAATTAAAACTTCTGCTATTACAAATTTAGTGGAGCATCCAGCACAGATGCGACCCCCAAGTATATATACATATATTTTACTTTTTTCCTATTGGTATTTTAATATATTATATATAATTAATATTGTGTTTTTGGTACTTCTTATAGCGGATCCTTTGAAACCAATATATATGCCTGTGTTTCTGACAAAGAAAGAACGTAAGAAATTAAGAAGGCAAAATAGACGAGAAACATGGAAGGAAGAACAAGAAAAAATTCGATTGGGTTTAGAACCACCACCGGAGCCAAAGTTGCGGATTTCTAATCTCATGCGAGTGTTAGGGACTGAAGCTGTGCAAGATCCTACAAAAATAGAAGCTCATGTTCGACAACAGATGGCTAAGAGATTAAAAGCTCATGAAGATGCGAATGCAGCACGAAGACTCACTGCTGATCAACGTCGTGAAAAAAAAGCGAGAAAACTTAAAGAAGATACTAGTCTTGGCGTACATGTTGCTGTTTACAGGTAAATATGTATATATTTTTTTTTTATTATGTGTATATATATATATATATATATATATAATATATATAACATAAATAAATATATCTTTACAGAATACGTGATCTTATCAACAACGCTTCAAAGAAATTTAAAGTGGAAACTAATGCAAAACAACTCTATCTTACTGGTTGCGTAATGTTGTTCCGAGACTGTAATGTTGTTGTAGTGGAAGGTGGAGCAAAACAACAAGCTAAGTATAAACGACTGATGATGCATCGCATTAAGTGGGAAGAGGATATAGTGAAGGATAATGATGGGAATGATGTACCAAACAGATGTGTTCTTGTTTGGGAAGGTACAAGTAAGCAGCGACATTTCGGAGAAATTAAGTTTAAAGTGTGCCCAATTGAAAAGATGGCTCGAGAGCATTTCAAAAAGCATCAAGTGGAGCATTATTGGGATTTAGCTTACAGTGGGGCAGTTCTTGATAACACAGATGAAGTACGCTCTTAAAATATATTGTAAATTAAATTACTCTTGTAAATTAATATACAGGTAAAGCTAATACACAGATCAAATAATAAATATAATAAATATAAGTTCTGTACTTAATAAAATTATTAAGTCCTGAACTAAAAAAAAAAAATTATGGTGAAAGATAAAAAGATGTAATCATGACAAATTGAACATAAATAAAAGTTCACTGCTTCTGAAGATCTATTTCTATTTGTAGCAATTTAGTATAATCTAATGTCTATATCATATAATGAAATAAAACAATCTTATAATAATTACTTTTACATGCTATATTTTGCTATCAAATTCTACCATGTGTGGATGTGTGTTTCTTATTTTTAATTTTCAATGTAGGCAAATCTTTAAAAAAACACTAATAGCAGATAATTGCTTCATCCCACGCACAACGTACTCTCACGATTTATTACTGATGATGATCTTGTTGACAGTGGGAACAGAAAAAGTAATAGAGAGAAAAATGTATGCGAATAAATCACAAACGATGTCTCGAGGAATTTTAATCTGCAAATGACATTGTAGTCGAGCCCATCAAGCGGATTTAATTAATAGGCGCTGCGATGCTTATTGTTATAGTATTATGCAAACGCGCATACCGCAATGCAAGCACAAAGGTGCGAACGGAGTGTGTATTAGACCTTGAAACAGTATCGCGATTCCCAATAACGTAGCCGAGGAAAGGCGAACCTCAGCTCCCGCTCATAACACCTAATCCGGCAGCTGCAACCGGTGCAATGATGTACTTTTACTAGCTGCGTACATGTTATACTTGGATGCATCGTGCACCATTGATTCCATGCGTTGCTGCGATCCTGGCTAGACCCCACTCCGGGATAGATCATACGGGGTAGACTCGAGTTTTACTTTCGTTCGAGCATCGCTCTCAGTTCAGGATTATCGCTGCGCGTTCTCGCGCACACCGCTCTCGCGCGTGCGACTCTTGTGAAATCGTTCCAGGCAGATGAATACCATCGCGTATTAACTACGTGAGTGAGATCCTTATGTTGTAAGGAAATCGCACACATTTATCTCCAGAAAGATGTTGATTCCTGCTAGAAGTATCGCCACCGGTGGCTCGCTCATCTTTATATCACGGTAAGTATACTTTTAATTGTATTTTATATTTTATAGCGAATACCCAACGACTAATACTAATTATTTAAATTTATATTAATAAATACTAATTATTTAACGACTAATACTAATTATTTAAATTTATATTAATTTAATATAAAATGACAAACTATGTATTAATAGTACTATTTATTAGCGTTTGCAAAATGCTATTTTTTATACAATATACTCACCCGCAAGAAAACCTGCTAAATTTTAACATAATTTTTGACATTTATGAATTGTGATAACTCAATAAAAAATTATCATAGTGAAATAAACCAGCGCTTAAATTAAAGTTTTAATATTTCTCTTAATAATACAAAAGACCAAAAAATTGTTTAGGAGAATCGGCTCCCAAATATAAAAAATATGAGTTTTAAAGCTCATTAATTTCCTAACAAATCAATATTTTAAAAGTTTTACTACAATTGTTTTTGACAAAGTTATTAAATTAATGAGCTGCACAACTCATATTTTTTTTATATCTAGGAGCCGATTCCCTTAAGCTATGCATAAATTTTAAAGACATTTTTCTCTCATTTTTTAACGTCTATCTTCAACGTCCGTTTTGTAACATTTTTTATAATTTAATTTTAGTCTTTTGTATTATTAAGAAAAATGTTCAAACTTTAATTTAAGCGCTGGTTCATTTCAATACGATAATTTTTTATTGGGTTATCACAATTTAAAAATGTCAAAAAGTTATGCAAAAATTTAATGGCCCATTTTTGCAGCTGAGTGTAGATATCGAGTAATAGTGTGTATGTATATATGTGTGTGTATGTAATAAAACTATAATTAGAACTCTCTCTATTAAACTATAATTAAAATATAATTTACTTAATAAAATATATATTTATGTTGTGATTCAATTCATGTAGTTGTTTGATAATAAAACCAAAAATATAAAACTAATTTAGAATTAGCAAAGAAAAAAATATATTCTTTTTTTTTAATTTGAATAATTTTTTTAATGTAATTACGTGACCGAGATTAAAATTATAAGAGAATCGAGAATTAAGAGAATTCTAAATTATGCATGCGAAATTTAAAATTCAGTCACAAGTATCTGTGAGTTAATATGTTTCGAAATCGAACAGATCATTATTTAAAAATAAACTTTTCTCTAACATGTAAAATGTGTAAAAGTAATTGTATTCCGCTCGTAAGAACAATACTTATATAATATCTTTCTACAGTATAAGTTTCGTAAGATTATTAGACTCAAAACCAGGGATTGATTAAGCGCGGGATGTTACATATCGAGTAATTAGCTCATACGTTCTATCCCAACGATCGTAAACAGTGAAACGGCAACGTTATGAAACTTTGCGAATGAGAATGTGTTATGTCTTGGCACAACGATTTGCATTCACGAAGTCAGATACGTTTCTCTTGGCTCATTATTTCACCAAAGGTTAACGATATTTTAAAGATACACTTAATGATTATGTTGTACAGAACTATTCAGGTCAGCAATCGATGTGCAATGTCATCGTGTAGGCGGCACAAAACTAATTGTTTTATAATTATTGTAATCAATTACATAGCTATATACTATGTCGGTAGAGCTTTACATTGCATATTTTTACTTCGTAATACAATATATCTAGATTACACAATTTTTGCTATGTATAAATAAAATTATGATTACTTGAATATGTTATTTTAAGATAATGATGTGAGGCTAAAAAGATTAAGAACATCAATCATGATTTTCATGTTCATTTTCTAAAGAAATGAAAGCGTACGTGGTATTCAAAGCTTACCATGTAATCTTTTAGTCAGTACTATAGTCTGACTAAATACTAAACGAACATTAAAAGTAATATTTTCAAGATTTTTTATATTTATTAAATCGATAAAGACTTTATAAATTAATCTGTATAAGCTTAGTATTAAAGAAGAATAAATTTTTTTATCTCATTTTACACGCAGGAACTTTAATTTAAGATTCAGTAATTAAAAGTTTAATAATAAGAAAAGTAATATATTTAATGATTTTCTCTTTCTCTATGTGTATATATGATTGATTACTATAAAAAAATATGTAGAATGTCATCATGCAATGTAATGTCGTAATGCAATGTAATTGTACGTAATTTACCTTGTCGCTTCTATCGATTCTTCAATCACCACAAGTCTTCTTCACGCTCGTAAAATGCACGCTCGTGTTCCAACAACATCAAAGTTCCGGGTCGATAAGGAGATTAACGGTGCAGAGATAATCTGTAGAGAGTGATCGATCCTCGTGCGCCAAAGTGATTGTTTCCATCGATTCACGCGAACGCTAATCATGGGAATAAAGAAGATTACGTAAAGCATCTCACAAAAGAACCAGGAAAGATCTTAAATGTCAGCTCTATTCGACCTCCTTCTGAGGTCGCTTACTTAGATCTATTTCGACCTTATGCTGCATCGTAAAAAGTGGCATACTCTTAGTCGAGAACCGGCTCACGACAGATAACCGAGTTGATGAATGAATTTGTTACGGTAAACGCAACTCAGAACAATAGTTCTAATATAGTGAAGCGAAATGCCATAGAAGAGAGACAAGGTCTCTCAGAATTTATTGCAATGGCAGGATAAATTACGAAATTACAACGTATTTATATTCTATTCAATATCACGCTTGTCACGTAGACTCAAATTATGCGAAATTTCTCTTCTTCTTAAATCTGTATGTACATATTCCCGATTATGTTAAATACACGTTTATTTCGAAATCTGCGTATATCTCTCATATAGTTAAAAATATATAAATAGCAAAAGAGCATTTACGTTAGCGAAGTATGTAACATTTTACTAATGGAGAGATAAATCAAGTCTGGTTTATAATCTGGGACAATATAGAGCTCAATATAACATGGCCTTAAAACTTGCACAAGTCTGCAGCGAATAATGTAGCAAAGATGCTTTGGTTGACATTCATTTTAATCCTTTTGCAATGCGGATATACAAGCGCATGATCATCCTTATACTGTTGCATTGTATAACCCTATGATTATATATGTTTCCAATAATGATGGTATCGCGCATCATTGCTAAATTAGATAATGTAATCATTAAATCTGCATAACAATTATTGGGTAATAATGTACTTGTACTATACACGGGACATAAGTGCGTTCACACAAGAACGCATCTCGATTCGAAAGCGTTCACCGCGACGGCACTCAGCGGCACTAAACTATGCACGTATAAGTGGGATACTGTTTTTCTATCTTTAGAATCCTATCCGATTCATAGATTTCTCGCTCTAATGACACTTGCCGGAGCTATGACCTTGCCACCCAGGATGCTGCAGGATCTGGGTAAGCGCACGAATCTCTCTATGGAGAGATACAGCCAGGCGGAACAAACGATCATGAACTCCCAGACGCATCTCAGCCGAGACTCGCCGTCCTGGTTCCTCGGTGCATCTCATGAAATGACCGAAGGCGCGCAAAATCTCTCGAGGAGGGCCCTACGGATCGAGACGATGGCGGTGATGCTCGTAGAGGCGTTCAATATGTCATCGGAACAAGCGTCCTTGTTGCTACCGAAGGTGACAGCCACCCTTTGCCCCGACTCGCCCAACATCCTACGAATGATGTCCGAGTGTAAGAAGATGGATGTCCGTTACAGGACACACACGGGTCGATGTAACAACCCGTTACATCCAACTTGGGGCGCAGCGCTGGAAGCTTACGTGAGATTTTTGCCATCGGAGTACGAGGACGGGGTTTCGTTGCCTCGTATGAAGCTGCCAAGTGCGAGAGAAGTCTCCTTGAAAATTCATTCCGGTGGATTGGACCTTAAGCATCCTCATTTAATGGCGCTCACTGCGCTTTTCAGTCAATTCTTTGCTCATGATCTAGCGCATACGCCCAGAATGGAATTGCCGGATGGTACCAGGCTCAAATGTTGCAACGTCGATTACGAAAATTTTCATCCAGAATGCTTCCCGATTCGTGCGGAGCAACCGGTCGGTTGTATGGAATATTCGAGGTCGGCACCGCATCCAGGAAATTCGTTACACGTAATTATGAATAAAATCTTTTAGAATTTAAAAATATCCGCAA